CTGAGATGACAGAATTAGGAACCAAGGGTCTTTTATACAATTTCATGTCCTCTTTGACAAGTTGGGAGTTCCTCGGGGAATAAAAGGTCATTAGGATGACTTTGAAGGAGGTCCATCACCGGTACTTAGCTATACAAATTAACATAAGGCCATTTGCTTGTTCCTCCACCATTCACAGTACATTTCAAAGAGAGATGAATACGAGATATCCCATATTTACAATTCATTTAAATACTAGGATCTTCTTTTGACATCTGAATTATCAGAATACAGCACAGACAGGGACTGTCAATTATGTTGTGGACCCTGTTCATACATATGTAAATACACAAAAACACAATCATGATCTCCCTATGTGTCTTTTGAGGGTTATTTATTTTGCAGGATGTTTAACCCTTTCTAGCCATGCGTCACACTGCTCTTTCCCTCCCAGCGCTGAGCCAGATAATGTTGTTCGTGGACGGGATGTTGGGCGTGATCGCGCACAACGAGACCGTGCAGTGGCTCTACACGCTCTGCGGGAGCATGGTGAGTGAAACGGAGAGCACGCCCTGCCGCACCCCTTTGCACCGGGCCATTGCTGCCTGCTCCCGGCCTCCACTCCCTGCTGCTTTATTGCAGCTGGGATTTGTCAAGGGCAGGGCTTTCCGTGCACTGGCATTGCACTTTCCACGAGGAGCGTGCTAGGGGGTGAGGCTGCTGAGTGCTCTGAATCCTCGCTCACCCCCAGTGCCAGGCCTGGGCCTCGCTCCCCGTCCAGCTGGGCTCTGCACATGCTCGCTGAGGGCAGGTTAAGCAATGCTCTGCTCCGAGACATGTTTGGGGGCTTATTATCTATATACCTGTAGGGCTCAGACCTCACGCTGTGGCGGCTGCGCACACGTATTCCAGAGCAGTCCTCCTCTGAGCGCTGGTCCCTAGGTGTGTTCCACACGTGGGCACGCTTGCGCCATGCACCCGAGTCCGGCATTTCTTCAAAGCGGTGTCCATAGACTCGCCTCGTGCTCCCGACCGATGGTACCAGAGGCCAGTTCCTTCTTACCGCCGCAGGGCCTGAGTCCCGGGATTCAAGAACTGCCCTCGCTCCTTCTCCATCAGCGACGAGCATCACTGGTGCCGGTGCTGTCTGGGTGAGGCACGTCTCTCTGCCAAGTGCATGGTGTGTAAATCCTTCCTGCCCAGAACTGGAGCTCCGACTGAAAAAGCGCCTGATGGAGGAGGCTATGCCCAGGCCCAGGAGACCTTGTCGGTACCACCTCGTCTATGTAAAGACCGTCTGGCTGCGTCAGACAAGCCGGGCCCTTCACGCATTTCTGCTGGAACTCCTTTGATTCCGGGTCCTGCGGTGACCTTTGTGACATCGGAGGATCTCTTCCTCCCCTACCTGCAGTCCCCACTCCTGACCCAAAGCAGGAAAGATTCGACTAGACTCTGCTACCTGGCTAAATGGTGGCAGTTTTCGGCCTGGACACGTCCCCACCAGCATGCGCTTGATACTGTGGACGTGCCACTTATCCATGGCAGAAAGGTGGTGGGGACAAGCCATATCCTCACAAGGGTTTCTAAGTCAGTTTCAGGAGGCATCTTAGAATGCTACAAAACAGCAAAGCCTCCCCGTCGTGGGCGTATCACAGCTCGCGCCGTGTGGGCACCAGCTGCCTCCCCGGCATCCTTCTCGGACGTCTGCAGGGCAGCGACGTGGAGTTCCCTCTGTGCTTTCACAGCGCACTGTGCTCAAACGGTCAGCAAGAGCGGAGGCTGCCACAGGGACGGCAGCACCTCTGCTGCCAGCTTCCTCGCACCCTCCTCCGGCCTGAGCCCTGCTTGTGCAATACACCTAGGGGCCAGCCCTCGAAGGAGTGGTGGTGGTTACTCACTGTAACTGGCGCTTCTTTGAGAAGTGTGGTCCCTATCTGTATTCCACCAGCCCACTCCGCCCCCTCTGCTTCGCATCCGGCCGGAGCAGCATCGACCTGCCCTGCCTCTTATAGCCTCGGTCGGGAGCACGAGGAGAATTACTGCACTTGTGGGGGTCGACGGCCATGGCTTTGAAGACATTCCGGACTCGGGTGCGTGGCACTCGCGTACCCACGTGTAGGATACTGTCTCGAAGAACTTCCATTACCCCACTCGGTGCGTTTGAACAGCATGCCCAGGAGGGCTCGCTGGCACTCGGTCGTTTCCTACCTACCTGAAGGGATCTGGTAAAGGGGGTCCCTTTAGGGGCCTTTCTCATTGAACCAGAAGCTGTAGAGATGCCCCCATTTCCTGCTGCGAGTGGAGTTTGACACTGCAGGGACAGAATGTGCCCAACCGCAGGCCAAGGGGGGCTGTGAACAAGGCTGGCCTCTCTCAGGGCACTTGGCAGAGCTGCCTGGTAGGTTTCAGAGTGGTGGTAGCCGTGTTAGTCTGTATCAGCAAAAACAACGAGGAGTCCTTGTGGCACCTTAGAGACTAACAGATGACAGAGACACAGCAAGGACTAGAAGTGCTAGCTCGGTCTGGGGGCTGCCTCTGCTCCTGCCGGCACCAGCCCTCGGAGTTTGTTCTCTGTGCGGCACAGCTTGCTGGCTGAAGTGTGGCCCTGATCCTGACCAGCAGCGGCCTGTCTGGCACCCAGAGCATTGTGTGCTGGGACCTGACCTCTCCCCTCTGCACTGAGGACCCGGGCAGCTGCTGTTGGCTCTGCTTTCTGTGAATCGAGTGCGGAACAGTGAGCTCCTCGCACGCCAGCCCTCTAATACGCCCCTCTGCCTCCCCAGTACCGCCTGGTGGTGAAAATGGCGCTGAAGCTGCTGCTGGTGTTTGTGGAGTACACGGAGTCCAATGCCCAGCTCCTCATCCAGGCTGTCAACACGGTGGAGCAGGCTAGAGGTGAGCGCGGCAACCCCCCAGTGCCTGGGGGAAGCCGCCTGGCAGGCTGTGAGCTGCAGTGTGCAAACACTCGGGATTGAAATAGGGGTGCCCCGGCTGGATCCCCTCAGGGAGTCCGTCTCTCCCCCCCCCACCCCCCCGCCGGCCTCCTCCGTCACAGTAACAGCGCACACTCACGTCAGAGAGACTCAGTCGCACTCAGGCCCTGCACGCAACCAAACCCTCATGCTCCTGGGGCAGGGATTTGGGTGCATGCGATTCAGAAGGCTCGGCTATAAACGTCCCATCGGGCTGCCCACTGGCTGAGCCGGTAGAGGAGCACGGCGCCCCCAGGAGGCCCAGCGGCTGCGTGGCGCTGTGATGTTCTGGAAGCTCAGCAGCAGCTCTGTGCTTCAGATGGGAACTTGCTGCCCTCCCACCGTTCCCTCCCCAGCCTCTGCCCGCTCTGCCGCCCTGTCTCGGTGTGCTCTCTGCCCAGAGCCGGCCCTTGGGGCAGCAGTCCTCTCTCCTGGCAGCCCCCGCTGCCCGGCCTGCGAGCGAGCTCCCCATCCAGCCTGAGCCTTGGCGTGCCGGGGGGCTGGGTTGTTCTTTTAGAAGATAGCTGCTGCAAGACGGGAAACCTGCCACCGTAACTCTGCAGCCTCCTGCCTGCGTGCCATGAGAGCCGGGTCTGTTCCCGGGGCACACCACCTCCGCAGCAACGCGCACCCATGCTGCTGCAGCAGCTGGCCCCGGCCCTGGCGAGCCGGGCCCAGGCTCTGGGTAGGACTGTGAGCCCCAAGGAGAGCGGGATGGTCCTGTGGGCTGCCCAGCCGCATCCTGCAGAGGGGGACTAGCCAGGGATGCCCCAGGCTAGGGGCAGGGTCTCAGGCTGGAAAGGAAGCTGCCAGTGCTCTGTGGGGTTTACAGGAGACCCACTGTACTGGGAGGAAGAGGGGGTGCCGGTCTCTCTGGGCCCTGCGTGCGCCCGGTGCTCTGTCTCGGAGAGCAGCTGGGCGGTGCTGGCCTGCATGTGGTGCTACAGCGACCTCTGCTGGCAGGTCAGGGTGTTGAAGTGTCTGTCCCAGTGGTGAGTGTGCCCTGTGATCAGGGCAGGGCGGGAGCCGCCACACTGCACCGCCAGGCTCCAGTTTCCTGGTCCGCACTGGTGCCGCACTCACCTGTGTGGCGCTGGGACTTCTGGGGTACGTCCCAGGCTGCTTTGCACTGCAGTGAGTGAGATGTTCCTTCCCAGGGAATTGTGGGGAACGTGTCTGTCCGGGCCATGCGGGGGGAATTGTGGGAAAGGAAGGTGGAGGACTGTCAGCAGTCGCGTGGCTTAGCCTGGGTCCTCTCTGTGAAGTGGGCCTGTGACCAGCCCCAGCGAAGGCAGAATTTGAGCTCTAGCTACAGCCAGGCCAGGCCAGCTAGCCTGGGGTTAAAGCAGCAGCACACTGGAGTGAGAGGAGGATGGGAGGGGGCGACACCCTGGTCAGAGCCCGGGTTAACTCTGCCGTGAAGACAGAGGAGGCGGGGAATAAAGCTTGTGTAGGGATCCTCCTTCTGCATGTGGTATCTCCATGGTGCAGGCTGTGCTGGGCCTCTGGTAACCTATGGCGCTCGGGCGCCTCCGTCACACCGGGGCCGTGCATGTCCTGAGGGGGGCAGATGGGGTGCAGGGCCATCCCAGAGAACACCTCGGTCTGAACTGGCTGGCAGAGAGCCAGGTTCCAGCCTGGTGCGGCATGCTGCAGGGGCTGGCAGCTCCGGAATTCCCACATTCGTCGTCTCCCCAGCACTTGGTGCGCTGGCTGGACCAGTGGGCCCGGCTACTGTCCTCACATGGCAGTAAGCCCCACTCGGAGGCTCTCGGTGGATCTGTTAACACAGGATCCCCTTTCGGAGCTCCCACCTCCCTGGGCGCAAGCAGGCTGCAGCTCTGAGTCCTGGGTCTCAGGTGCAAAGCTCTCCACGGGACGCGCAGTGTAACGAGCTGGTGGGGGCTCTGCCCCCTGACGCTTCCTCGGGGGGGAGGGATGGGGGAGGGAGTCCGGAAGTGGGCCGATCTGCCTGGCTGATGGGGGGGCACCAATCACGAGGAGGAAACCTGCCCTGCTCAGGGACCCTGTTTGCCAGGCTTGTGGTGCTGTTTCCTAGGTGCGTATCCATGGTCCAACCTGGTTGCAATCTTAGAGGAGCGCAATGGGGCTGACACAGAGCTGCTGGTGTTTGCGATGACACTTATCAACAAGGTGAGTACCGCGAGGCAGAGCGGCCGCAGCCCGGCACATCCTGCCGACCCCCTGGCTGCTCAGAGGGCAAAGAACAAGCAGCTGGTGGCTGTGGTTTGGAGCATGTTTCGTGCATTCCTGGGAGTGGCTCCCATGTTGCTCCTTCCTCCCACCCCTGCCCTTCACCTGTGCAGTCCTGCTCTGGGGCCTGGGCTGGGAGGTGTGGGCAAGAGGCCTGCTAGCCCCTGGGCCGCGGGCTGGCCTGACTGCGTCCCCTTGGTGTTGCTCAGACGCTGGCGGCCCTCCCGGACCAGGACTCGTTCTACGATGTGACAGACTGCCTGGAGCAGCAGGGGATGGAGTGCATTGTGCAGCGCCACATGCACAACAAAGGCCTGGATCCTGACGTGAAGCAGCAGTTTACAATCTACGAAGTGAGTGCATTTCCTCTCTCCATGGGCCGCAGCCCCCTGCCCCTCCATCTCCCCTGCCCTCGGGTGCAGGCCAGAGGCTTGGAAGGACTCACACACACACCCCTTACGCAGGGGGTTCTGGGATTGCCCTGGCCACACCTACGGGAGCATCCTGCCTGCAGGGAGGTGCCCTGGAGGTTGGACAGGAAGGTGAGGACCTGCCAGGTACTGACAGATGCTCCAGCCTCCGTGTGGCTGGGCAGGTCACTGGGCTGTTGGGACAGGCCTCGCGCTGCCGACCCCCAGCATGTCCAAGGCTCCAAGCGCTTAGGCTCCTGAATGGCCTGGTGGAAATCTCACTGCTTCCCGGTGAGCCTGGGGTCGCTGCCCCACACAGCAATGTTGTATCTCCCCCCAGCCAGGCATGATCCCAGCTCCCCTCCCCAGCCCGCAGAGGGGATGGAGAAGGTCTCTGGCTCGCAGAGGGGTTGTGCTGAGGCTGCAGTAGCCGCACTCTCCCCTGTTGTCACACTCAGCATCCCGTGGCTAGACGTTAGTTGCTCCCCAGTGAGGCCGATGGGTGCTGGGGGTGTTCACGCCTCTTGGAGCCGTTGGTTTAGGCTGTCAGCAGGCTCAGGCAGGGGAGGCAGCCTTGGTTCACGCTTGTTTGAAGCTGGGAGGTTATTTCCATAGCCGCGAGGGCTAGAAATCTGTTGTGTGGTTAAAAGGAGAGTGTCAACGCCGTGGGGATGGAATAGGTCAGGTGAGCAGAGGCAGGCAGGCAACAGCTGAGCCCGGTGGGCATAGGAGCCCCATGACAGCACAGGGTAACAAAGCCCTACAGCAGCTGGGAGGCAGCCCAGTGTATTCTGGCACGCTCTGCCCGTGTGCTGCTCTCCGCAGAGCTCGCTCAGACACGAAGACGGAGTGGAAGAGCTGCCGCCGGGGGCGCGCAAGGAGCGGCGGAAAACAGATGAGAACCGGCGGGGCCGGCGCTCCCTGGGTGGCAACGTAGATGCTGGAGCCGGTGCAAGCTCCCCAAGCCCAGCCGTGGAGGACAACAAGCTGCCTGAGCCCTCCAGCCCTCCAAGGGAACCCACTGCCGAGACAGGGACGGAGAGCGGCCCAGCTCCGTGAGTACTGGGCATTGGGCAGGGATAGGCAGGCTGGCCAGTAGCTGTGTGCGGTGTGCAGGAACAGAGCTGGGTTCTGGGTGTTTGGGGCAGGACTGTTCGAAGGGTTTGGGTGGTACTGCAGAGGCTGGGGCAGACCTGAGGCCGTGGGCTGGGCATGCCCAGCCAGGGATCTGCATGTGGCAAGCTGTGATCTGCTCCATCTCCCACTCCTCAGGGCTGGCTTAGCCACGCTGGACCTGCAGGGCTCCTGTCCGGGCGCTTAGCCTGGGTGGGCACCCTGAATGAAGTGTCTGCGGCCAGGCCCCGTGTCTCCGTGTGCGCCCCCTGCAGGTGAATGATGGGGTGCTGTGTGTGATCCATTGAAACGTAACAGCGAGAGCCCCTCTCGGTGCATGCTGGGCCCTGCTGGCCGCACGACTGCAAAGAGGGGCTGGCTCGTGGGGCGTAGGCTGAGTCTGCGCTGTTGCCGTTTCAGGCCCTGCTTCGAGAGTGTTTACAACAGCACATCCAACGTGCGGCTCTCTGCGCCGGCCTCCCCGGAGGAGAGGGAGCACCCCAGCCTGGGGGAGAGGAGCGTTTTCAAGTGAGTTGCCTCAACTTGGCGGGAACTGAGGAGTGTGTGCTGGCCCTGCTGGGGCACGGCGCAAGACAGGCCTGGGGGAGGCTCTGGGCAGGACACTGAGGGAGCGTGAGTCTGGGGGGGGGGCACTACGAGGCAGAGACACCTCTTCCCCCCCCCCCCCCCCCACTCCCTGTCCTGTCCCCTCTCAGCAGAGATGCCCCAGAGTGCGTCTACACAGCAAAATAAATAAATAAACCACCTGAGAGTCCAGGTCAAGTAACTCAGGCTGGCGCTGTGGGGCTGAAAACAGCAGTGTGGATGTTCCTGCGCGGGCTTTGAGACCCTCCCCCCCTCAGACTTGGCGCCAGGGGTTTCCTTTGCAGTGTAGACGTCCCCACACTGACCTGAGCTGGGGCCTGTCCGTGGTCTCAGGCGCTCTGGGTGTGTTTCCGGCAGTGGGTCAGTGGCGCTGTTTAGCCCCAGGGCCCTTCCTGTGGGGGACCAGGGGGAGCCCATCGACAGCCCATCCTCCTGGGGATGCCTGGGCCCCCAGCCTACACAAGAAGGGCTGTGTGCGACAGGGAAGGCCGGTTGTGGATCCGGAATGGTTCCTAGGGCTCGGGAGCCAGCCCCCCTGTGGAGGAGCAGGGTTCCTTGGGAGCTCCAGGTGATGATGGGAAGGGAGCTGTGTGGAGGGAAGCTGTCCTGGTGTGCAGGAGGGGTGTGTAGCGGATGGGCCGGCAGGAGGGGGCAGCACTGCGTGAGAGGGACCCAGCCTACACAGTCCACACTCGCGGGGCGCTCTGGAGTCAGCATGCTGATGTACCCCGTGGAGACAGCACACTGGGGGGGGGGGTTCCCAGCTGTTGGCCTCTGGGCCCTGCTCAGCTGGGTGGAGGTGTCTAGTGGGTGATCAGTACCCTCCCAAAGGGGGAAAAGGGGAAGGCCCTCCAGCATGCAGCCAGCGTGCTCCCCCCGCAGAGTGGGGTCTCTGCGAATACCGGGATCCCAGCCAGCGCCATGGGAATGGCCTGCCCACTCCTCTGCTGGCGGTGCCCCCTCGGGCTCAGCTCAGGCAGGCTGTCCCCAAGTGGATGGGTGGCATCTCTAGCTCCAGCTCTCACACTCTCTGCTCCTTCTCTCGGCACTGATTCTCCTCTGCCTCAACTTTCTTTCCTTTTTCAGACTTCACCAAACTGCCCCTGTTTGGTAAGTGACACGGAGGCTGCGTGCGTGTGCATGTGACCCTTCCCGGCATGCTCCTCCCGCGTGCTGTGGCTAGTTTCCTCTCCCTGCCTGCGGCTGCTCTGTCCAGGCCGCCTCTCCCTGCACTCCATTAGGCTGGAGCGTGGGCGCTGCACTGGGGTTTGCTTGCATGAGGCTGCATCTGCTGCTTCCAGGCCTGGGTCTCCTCTGAGTACTGGCCACACGATTCTGTCCCCAATACATGCTTCGCGTTGCCAGGCAGCACTTCCCGAAACTCCTTCGCTGGGCTGGGAGCTACGTTCCACTCAGCAATCAAGGTCCCATCTTTCCTGATCACTGACCACTGAGCCAGCCACATGAGGCTTTCTCCTAGGCTGGGGCCAGAGACCTCCTCTTGGCACTGAGCTTGTCCAGCCACCTCCACGACGACGCAGGAAACCCCCTGCTTGTCTCTGCAGCACTTCCCCCCTCTGCCCCGTCCTCTCTCTGCAACCTTGAGGGCCAGCAGAGCACCATGCAGCCTGCCCCACTTCCCCTCGCCAGCATGTTGGTTCTGAGTCAGCCATAACCCCAGACATGGTGCGCAGAGCACGCAGCGAGCGACCGGCTAGCCCGCTGCTGGGGCGTGCGGAGCGGCCTGGTGCAGGCCCGTGAGGCCTGAGCCGCTGCACTCTGACTGCTGGGCTGGCGGTGCCATCCTCGGGGTTGGGGTCTCTGTGTGAGTCCCTCGTGCTGTTCATTTGGGCTGGCCCCTTGTTCTGTGCCTGGGTGGAGGGGAGCGGGGAGCTGCCTGGTTATGGCCGGGTGCCCTTGGGGGTTCCAGCATCGGGTTCGACAGCTGGGCCTGCCCCAGGGCGTCACTAGAACCCGCATTCCGGAGGCTGCTGTGCGTGGCTGGAGGCCGGCTGTGTTAACTGACAGCTCATGTGCTGTGGGCGCCGAACTGGGTGTGAAAATGGCTGCCCTCCAAAATGGCTGCCCGGACGCCCTCTGGAGGCGTGGTGGGTGTGGGAAGGGTGGCAGCCCCCCACCCCTCCACGAGCCCTCACGAAGGACTGGCCCGTGTGTGGAACCCCATTCCTTGCCCCAGGGACCTTCGCCACGGCTGTTCCTGTAACGGTCGGGGGGGGGCACCTCTGCTGAGGGAGGGGACGACCGGACTGATGGTGGCAGCCTGTTGAGTGACCAGCGTGCGCTATGCCCAGGGGGCTGTCGGCTGGCCTGGGGGGCAGGAGGAGCACACACGGGGTGCTGAGCCCCTCGTCTCTGAGTGCAAGTGCCAGTTTGTCCCATAGTTAGTGGAACTTCGATTGGCCAGGGCTGCTGCATGGCAGGGATTTTCCCAGTCTGGTGCGCAACGGGCGCTCTCAGCAGAGGTGGGCCCAATGCAGCGGCCGGGAGGTGTCCCTGGGCTGGACAAGAGGCTCAGAGCGGCACGGGGGAGCTCCGATTGTGGTGGCAGATGTAGGATATGTCGACACTGCGAGTTAGCCCAGGGTCAGTAGAACACGACGTAGCAGAGCTGGGGTTTGCTAACTTCGGGCTTCAGCGTCTACACTCATGTGTAACCCCAGGTTAGGAGAGGTTGGGTCCCAAGCCGGGGCTCCAGCGTCTTGACTGCATTATGCAGGCCCGTGTCCAACCACCCGTATCACAGGCTTCCCAGCATGTGACTGCTCTAGCCCTTTGCGGGGAAGACGTGACCGTCCACCAAACGTGACTGCCAAGCAGACAAGGAAAGTCGGGCCGTGGGATATTTTTGGCTGATGCCCAGAGCACGAGTCCAGTGGGGCTGCGTCTACCCTGCAAAGCAATAGGGGTCGGGCCCCGGGTCCTGGCTTGGACTCTGCCCCCTTATGGGACCTGGGCTTGCTCGGTGTGTGTGTAGGTGGAAGGCGATTTCAGCTGGAGGCTGAGTTCAAACCCTGGGCTTGCCTTGCAGTGTAGACATCCCCTTAGGGTGCGTCCACACTGGAGCTGGGGGTGTGATTCCCTGGTCCCCGTGCTAGCTCTGATCACGCTAGCCTGATCAAATAGTGTCGCTGGGAAGGGCTGTCTGCCCCCAGTACAGTGCCAGCCCAGATACTCCGCACGTACCCCTCACGCTGCTCCTAGCGCACTAGCTCGGTCAGAACTGGTGCTGTATGTTGCCCTGAGGTGGAGCGGACGCCTGCAGCCCAGATGTGCCCTTAAGTGGACTGGCCTGGAGAGCGCTGGGGAGAGCAGGGGCTGGCAGCACAGGGGGCAGTGCCGTTCGCTCTGGGGCATGCTGTGCCGTTTGTGCTCAGGCTGGAACCCATGGGGCTGCCCTGATGCAGGGCGCCGGCCGAGTGGAGCTGAGAGGCGGCTGCCGTGTGGAAAGCATGCGGAAAGCATGGGCCGCGCCGCGCCGGGCAGCGGTGCTAACTGCTCTTTTCTCTCAGGCGAGAGGAGAGCCCCCCTTTGCGTGGGGACAAGCCCGTTCTGAGGAAGTTTGAGTAAGTACAGATGTGGGCGCATCTTCAGATGTGCCCTGGGTCCCGCTGGAGCCAGGCCTGGGCGCCCCCGGAGCAGAGCAGGGCTCAAGTGTTGTTCTCTAGGGTAAATGTCACATGGTCATGGGAGCTGGGGGCTGATTGTCTCCCACACATCTGCCTCCCCAAGGCGTGTGTGGCTGCACTTCCCTCTGCCGAGCTGGGGGACAGCGCCCGTCCGAGCCTGGCTTGGGTGGAGCGGTGCCAGGGCAGAGAGATTGGGCTGTGGAAAGAGGGGAGATTGGTTTCCTTGACTCCCTCCAGCGTGCTTTGTGGGTAACTCAGCCCCCACAGCGAGCGATAGACACACATTGGTCCCAGCCCTAGCAGGACCCTCCAGCCCTGCCTAGCTCCTTAGAGCGCTCTAGCTTGGGAAGCCGCGAGCTTCAAGCCCGTGTGCTGGAAGATTTTTAGTGTTTCAACCTTTCCGGGTGTCTGGGCTCCCTGGGCAGTGCCAGAAGCCAGTGGCTTTTGGAGCTAGAACCCTACAGAGTTCAATAGGGGCCCAGGCCCAAGTCTGCGAGAGCCTCTGCCGGGGAAGGTGTTTGCCTGGCGGGACTCCGGAGCTTTGGGGCTCCTATGTCTGTAGGGGGCGAGCCGCAGCGCAAGGGCTGACGTACAGCGCTGTGAATAGATTGTACCCTTAGCATTGCCTTTGAGGATCGAACCAGGCAGCGCTTGTGGCATGAGCAGAAACCGACCTGCTGAATAGTAGGGAGAGCTGGCGCGGGCGTCCAGGCCAGCCGGGCACTGGCTCTGCGGCGGGGCCCCTGGATCCTTCAGTGCTGCTGTGCCACCAGCTGCAGCATTGCGGTGGGTCCCTTTCCATGGCAGACGTCAGAGTGTCGTGAATTACATCGGACAGGGGGTCGGTTGGTCAGACAGGATGAGATTGCACAGTTTTCCATTCCGACTGTGCTGCAGAGGTTTGCCCGAACAGCATAGGACCCAGACGTTGTCAGGGAGGCTGGAGACGATGGTTGCTGGCGCTTTTGGCACCAGCGAGTCAGTTTGGGACTGAGAGATGCACACATTAGCTGGGTATCTCTTGCTAATACGATCAGCAGTGAAGTAGTTAACTCTGAGCCCTAATGATGACGGTTTAATTGTTAGCTCTGCAGTGAGGGGAAGGGGTGTCTCCCCAGGCTGAGCGGCTGTTTCAGGCTCAAGGCAGACTGGGGAGACAGCAATGGAGCTGCACCCGTTTCCCAGATCTCAGGGTGACATCACGGCCACTAGTGCTGGGGGCAGCTTCTTCCTCTAAATAAAAGCTGGGTTCCTGGAGCGTAATTTTGCGGCGAGCGGCACATTTCGCAGCGAGTTCTGAGGCTGCAGGATCCCCTAGGCCCTATGGGAACTGGCTCCCTTGTTTTCAGTTAGCCTGTGCCCTGGGTTTTGTTACATTCCTAGCTACCCCCAAGGCTGAGATTTAAAGCAAGCTCATGTAATGTCCAGGGAGCCCCGGAAACCTGAGAGGAGCCATTTTTGACATCTTTGAACTGCCCCCCCGTTTAACATTTTCCTGGGGAACTTCCCCAGCCTGCCCGGAGAGGGGGGGGCTGTGGATCCAGGACACCAGGCGAAGGGAGAGTCCCTGCTCTGTTAAACTACCTTCAACGCACTCGGCCACCCTAACTCTGGAGCCCTTCCCGTCTCCCCACTGGCCTCTCGCATGCCTGCTTTCCCCACAGCCAGAATGCGTCCGCCTCTGGGCTGTGGGCGGCAGCTGCCAGCAGCACATAGCAGCCTGGCAGAGTGCTGAACATGAGGGTGGGGAGCGAAAGCAGCAGGATCTTAGCTGGGAACTGCAGTGTGACCCCGGCCCCGGGGACCACTCGAATCCCTAGGCAGGAAGACTGCACCATGCGTGTTGGCAGCTTTCGGGGGGGCTGCCCATCGCGTAATGGGGCCGGGAGTGTCAGAGGGGGCAGTGAGGTGATTTACAGGGTGTGTCAGAGCTGAGCGGATGCCTGGGTTTTCTCTGCCCCAGTGTGGGAAGGAGGAGCTGGGGACACCATGCGCAGGTGCCCGGATGTCTGGCCAGGCCGTCCCGGTGGTGGGAGGGGAAGGCTGATGGACCTGGGTGGCTGTAGGCAGGTGCTGGCCTGACACACATATGGCTCCGTGTACCATGTGGTGGGGTGTGTGCTCTGACCCGAGAGGCGAAGGGTGTCAGGCATGCCAGCAGTGTTGTCCCGGGACACGGCTGCCTCTGCTAGACACATGCACCGTGGCCCTGTGCCCTGCCTGCATGCGGCTGGTTGCAGACATTCAACTCCCTTTTGCAGAGCTCGCTTCTTGGAAAACCTGGCTTCATCCCAAAAGGAGAAGCTGTCTGCGATGTCCAAGGGGCGGCTTGACATCCTCGCTGAAGCCATTCCAGGGGGCGGCCAGCTCAGCCCAGAGCCACCCCCAGCAGGTACGCAGGTCCCGTGTGCCCAGT